AAGCAAAGCTATCCGTGATAAAGCCAAGGCTAAACAGGAAAAGAAAAACCAAGAATATTGTGATAATTGTCGCCAAGCGATTAAAAAGTATAAAGACGAAAATGGTCATATAGTTTCAGGAATAGGAAGTGTAGACCAAGACGGAAATCGCCATAAATTTTGCTCGAAAGAGTGTAGTGAAAAATTTAGAGGATGGAGCAAAACAGTGGTAAGAAAAAATGCTTTCACAGAACTTTTGAAATGAATGGAAAAAGAAGGAATTACCAATATTCGTTTAGATTCTAACAGTAAAAAGTTAGTTTTAGAGTATGGCAAAAATAACTCCAAAATTATTGAGGATGATAATTTAACTCCCGAACAAAAAGAAATAAAGGAATTTTTTCAACAAATCGGCAAAAATAGCCTTAGTCAAAATGAATTAAGAGAGGAGGTTGCAAAAGAAAAAGATAAAAATGGTGGTAATAAGTGAATAGGACCGGCGATTGGTATCGTAATTGCTGCTCTGGTTATAACTTTAATTGGAGTCATTATTTACAAAAATAAGAAAAAAGGTTATTAAATTAACCATTAATGCTAAAAAAATTTTGATTTTGACTGAAAAAGATCTATAAGGGAGTAAAAAGAGTTCTTTATCCGGAGCCAGTGGCTTCTCTGGGGGTGACTGATTACCGAGTTTCTATCGGGATAATTAACGACAAAATAAAACTAATTAAAGGGACTAATAAGGACAAAATTAATGTGGTTGCTTATCAAAAATACCTCGATTTTTTGGAAAAATTAAATTTAAGAGAGGATTTTAGCATGATTACTACTCATGATGGATTAGTCCTCTATGCGACCATTATTCGTCCGTTAATAATAAATAAAAACAATAACAAGGTAGTTATTTTTTGCCATGGTTTAACTAATAATCGCTGGTCGCTCTTTTACACCATGCACTTGGCTCTCCAACGGGGTTATCAGGTGGTCTCTTATGATGCCCGCAATCATGGTCTTTCGGGTCAATCTTTCACCACCTTGGGACAAATTGAGGCTTGTGATTTACAAGATATTATTGACTATGTGAAAAAAAAATATCAGCCGGAAAAAATAGGTCTTTATGGCTTTTCCATGGGAGCCGCCACTTTAATTTTTTGAGTGGGTTATTTTGCGGGGTCTGGCAATTCCGAAGCGGTATTTGCTATCTGCGAAGCTCCCTTTGACCATTTTAACACTCAATGAAAAAGAGCCCTAGGTAGCGGGATAAATTACTATTGAAAGCATTTTTTACTAAAAAAAATAATTAAGGAAACCCTTCATTCTTCGCGGGAGAAATTAGAGAGGGTTAATCCTTATTTAGTTCTGCCGCAGGACTTACCAATTAAATTATTGCTGCTTCATGGTCTAGAAGATGCAGTAATTGGTTGACAAGCCTCTTTTAAGCTTCATTATCAATTAAGTAAAAATAAACTAAACAAAAATAAGATTAACCTTTATTTGTGTCGCCACGCAGACCATGGCGAATTGCCTTTTTTGGGGGATAATATTCCCAACAGTTTAAGGTGAAAAAAAAGGAAAAAAACTTCTCAATACACTTTTACTGGGCTTTTTTGTAACTATTTAGAAAAGAATTTATAAAAGTAGAATGATTATTGTCGTTATTGACGATTAACATAAAGTTCTTGTCCTCCAATTTTTTGATAGTAATGTTCTGCTTAGATGATTATTAGTTCAGGGGAGTAGCAACTCCCCTTTCTTTTTAGTTAATCATCAATTTAAATGTATTACTTAGGTGGAACTTGGATTTGGGCTTGTTGCTCTTGAGCCTGATAACTACAAAACTCGTAAAAAGATTCATCTAAACTTCTAGTTTTTGGAGAAGAAATAGTACCTTCTATTTATCAACCTTCGCTAGTAGTGTAAATAGTTTCTAAAGTTTGAATAAGATCATCAGCAATAGGATTCATTGTTTCAGCAGGAATTTCCTTTTTTTCACCATTTTTGTCTATTCACTCAAATTTTTCATTTCTATTATTGTGATAAATATAGATTTTGTATTTTCTCCTACCATCATCATCTTCATTTCTTTGCTTAATTTCTATTTGCACTCATCGTTTTCTTCCTTCACTAGTTTCTGCTAGGTCTTGACCGTTTTGCACTTTGTTCACCCTTTCCATCTAGCCTTGGCTTGATCTGGGGGATTATTCATCGAATTGTCGGCAAATCCTAATACTTCTCTTCTAATTCTCTCTCACGCTGCGTCTATCTCACCTTCATCAAAATATTTTTTTCTTCTTATTTTTCCTACTAAATCCGGTGAAGCAACTTTATAAATGAAGTAAACACTCCTTACACTCGAATTAGAAACGTTCTCATTAGAAACTTTAATATATTGGTCAAATTCATTCCTTTCATTCGCATTCAGCTTACTTTTCAAATATTCAATGTTGGATATCATTTTGCCTTTTCCATCTTCCCAGTCCTTACCGTCAAAAAGTATCTGCCAGAAAGCTCTGCTGTGTGATTGAGTTGGATAAAGAAAAGTTCCGTCTAAGATTTTTTTATTTAAATCAGCAGATGAATAATTTTTTTCACTATCCTTATGTTCTACCTCTTTTGACATAATAATATTGTGATTCGTTTCATGAACCAAAAAAGAAGTCTTATCTTACTACTTGGATCATCGAGTCGAACATAAACACATCAACCCTTAGATGGATTACTCTCATCATTTCAACTAGTATAAGCAAATGCAAGTCTCCATGGTCCGGTAAATTTATCCATACCGCTTTTACTAGGATAAAGATCAACTGGTCTCCCTCCTACTCTATCTATGGAGAAATCAGCAGCAATTTGTTTCAAATCCTGATATAATTTATACTCTTCCCCATCTTTCTTGAAACCAGCGTTAACTAAATACTTAGTTTCTTGTAATAGATCCTCCGGAGCAGTATAACCCAAACTATCTCATTTAGCCTTTTCCTGGTTAATTATGTCTAAAACTGGTGTGGGTTCACCTTCGCGATTACTACCGTCAATTAAAAAAATGCACTTACTGCCTTGATTAATAGGAATAGAAGTTTTCTTACCCAGATTGTGAGCGAAAAAATAAAAAGAATCGGTATTAGGGTGAGTAACCAATCCTGCATCTTTATCGGGAATTGGTTTATAAACATTTTTGCAGAAAGTTAGAGTATTGCCTCCAGAAATAGTTTTTTTTTTTTTTTTTCGTTTCCACTTGATAATTTCCATCTTGGCCTTTAGTAATTTTCTTAATAGTCAGTTCAACTAACATATTGTTATTGGTTAGTGGATTGCTAGGAGTCACAATTGGATTATTTCCAGGAATTTGAACTTCATTTTCATCAAAAGTTTCTCCAGCCGGATAAATAATATTAATCTCAGTGTCATCAGCATATTTTTGTAAAAACCGAAATACTTCGAGACTTTTTATTTTACAGCAATCTTTACCATCACGTAAAACATGATTGAATAAAGCATTACTTTTGCCTTCTCCATTAGAAAGTAAACGGTCAAAATTCTGATGTAGAACAAGTGGGTGAGTCCCCGACGAGCCATCCGTAGCATAGTATATCATGGTATCGAGAGACTTAAGGTGTTTGCTAGTTTCAGGAAAAACTTTCATTATGTCATTAAAAGCCTCAGTGTTGGCAATTGTCCATCAATTACCTTTTTTCGTGACCAATTTCTTATTGTTGCCATTCAAAAAAACCTCGGCAAATCTGCTATAGTATAATGTGTTCTGTCTTGTAAATTGAGAAACTCTTTTCTGGGATTGCCACAATCTAGAATTATTTTGTCTCAACTTTTAATGTCTTTAAATTTTATTTTACCTCTTATATCTTCTTGTAATGTTACTATTGGCATAATTTATTATTAATAATTAAAAAATTTTTTTTACAATCGCCACAACGCTTTTAAGTATACTATATCTAACTAGGAGTGATTTGATTAAATACTTTTTTCGTTCCGACCATAGGCAATTTTTATTGATTACTCTATATATATTATTTTTTATTATTTTTAATCTTAATAATATAGGTGTATTATTTTTGCCTTTCTCCTCATAAAGTTTTGACTATTTTATACCTTCTCGCGTGATTTCCTTTTCTGGCTAGTCTGCTTAAAATTAATTTAATAAATGACGATCATTGAGCAGTTAAATTCTAAGAAGGATGAGTTAGAGGAAAGGTTGAATAATCAATACAGTGGGGGAGGAAGTCGACGAAGAGACATATTAAAACATAAAATCACGAAAATTGAAGCATTAATTGCTGCTTACCACTCAACGCCTCCCCCAGTTAACTTGTCAGAAACTGAAGAAATTCTCAATCAGCAAGTAGGTTTTGAGGAGCAAAAGGAAAAAGTTTTGAATAGTGTGAAGATTAAAAATTATTGTGAACATAACAGTGTTAAAAGAGAACCTTTAATTTTATGCTTGGTTGGATCCCCTGGGGTAGGAAAAACTACCTTTGCCCGAGTTTTAGCCCAGGCTTTAAAGAAAGAATTTTTTATGGTGGCACTGGGAGGGATGTCCGATAGTTCTCTACTGTTGGGAGTTAGTGAGGATTCATCAGGGACCGAAACCGGGCAATTGACTAAGGCTCTAGTGGAGACCAAAACTTGCGATCCACTGATTTTATTAGATGAGATTGATAAAGTTAATTCTTATGGAGGTAACTCTTCCATTCATAATTGTTTAAACGCGATTTTGGATCCGGTGCAAAATCAGGAGATTCATGATTATTACCTTGATGTTAAATTAGACTTTTCTCAAGTAACTTTTATAGTCACAGTTAATGACCGAAAAAAAATTCCTAAATACTTGTTATCAAGAATGCCAGTGATTGTGGAATTGCCTGGCTATAGTAACGAACAAAAAAAAGAAATTGCTCACAAGTTCATTAAGAAGTGATTTAATCAAAATTTAAGTCTTAGTCAAGACAACTTTGAAATCATTCCGGAAGCCCTCGAAACTTTAATTAGCAAAACCAAAGAAAAAGGAGTTCGTCAATTGAAATCGGCTCTGGATAGTATATTTGACTATTGCCTTTTGCAGTGAGCCCAAGAAGTAAATCAAGGAAAACCAGAAAGCAAAATAGTTATTAACTCTGATTTAATTCACAAAATTATTCCTCATGATTTTTCTAGTATTGATTCAGAGGATGATCCAGAAAAAGTTTCAGAAGGCAAAGAGGAAAAAAAGGAATTAGAAAATTTACGCCGGGAATTAGCGACCCTAAGAGGAGAAAAAAATAATCAAACTGAGTTAAAAGCCATTAAGTTTAATTCCCTGCTGGTGCTGCGACAGGTTAGAGGACAATTTACTGAAAAAGAATATCAAGGTTACGAGGGGAGAATAAATACTGCGGTCTCGCGGGAAGAAATTGAGGTCATTATGAAAGAATTTTTACTAAAAACTAAGAAGCCTATCAAGGAAAACCAGGACAAAGGAATTCAAGATGAACTGAAAAGAAATAAAGACCTAAACAAGACTTTGGAGGGAAAACTTAAACTTTTTGATGATGAGATAAAAAAACTAAAAGGAGAAATACAAAATTTTCAGGGACGAGGAAACAAAGATAAAACCTTGTTAGTAGTGGTTATTATTATCTCAACAATTTGAGGAGTTTATGGAATACTTAAAATGCTAGATTTTTTTAGGAAACAAAAAAGAAGGAGAAAAAAATAATTAGTTTCGAAAGAAGAGTTTAATTAATGAGACAACTTAATTCTTTTTTTACTACCTCTTCTTTTTCTTATTAAAATTACTGTTCCTAATCCTATTACTATCAATCCTACTATTCCACCACCAATCAATAATTTAGTAGGTCAAGAAAGGAGTTGCTGGTTATTAATACCTTTCTTATTTTGTTCTTTTTTTAATTCTTGAGCTTTTTTTTCGATTTGTTGATTTATTTTTGCGACAAAAGCCTTAATTTCCTCTTTACTTTTTAATTTAGATAATTGTTCTTCTCAATTTTGATATTGTTTTGGTAAATCTGAGGTTTTTAAGTGGTAGGATTTTAGGACTTGTTGGATTTGATTTTTATTATTAGTAATAGTTGTTTGCGATTGGTGGGATTGGTTATTATTTTCTTTATCTTCTTGATTTTGTGGCGGATTAGTTGGGTTATTTTCTAGTGGAATAGTTGGTTCAGGGTTATTATTTTGCTGAGGATTGTCAGTATTAGTTGGAGGATTATTTTTTGGTTGAGGTGTTGAAGTTGGAGGATTATTTTTGACTTGTTCTTGGGCTTTTTCTCTCTCTTCTTCAAATTGTTTTTTTGCGTTTCTCGATTTCTTGTTGTTGATTTTCTGATTGTTCAGTTTGCGGAGAACTAGGATTGTTTTCTTTTATGTATTCTCTCCATTTTTTTAACTCTTCCCTTTTTTCATCATAGTTTTCGTAAGATTTTCCTCTATAACCAAGTTCCCCAATCAATCTGTGTCTATAGGTCTAATTCCTCACTTTGGTATAGTCACATCAGTTATTTTATTTTTAAACTCTGTCGGAAAAAAATCGCCGGAATCACAAGTAAAAATAACAATCTCTCACTCTTCTTTTTTTCTAATATGACATAGTCTAATTGCTTCTTAATTTATCTCTTTTTTTAATTTTGAACTAATTTTAAAACGGATCCGTTTTTGGGGTGGAATTATAATTTCTTTTCTGGATTCTAGTTTAATTTTTTCCTCCCGGGAAAGATTTGGAGATTTCAATTTTTTCATAATACTTGGATTTAGCCCCTTTCGTCTTTTGCTTGACATTACTCCCAAACTAAAATAATTTCGCAAAATAATTATTTCTCCTTTTTTTAGACTTAATTTTATTTCTTCCAGAAACTGATTAATTATTGTCTCCGTCTGTTTTCTTTGTCATTGCTCGGTTATCTCGCTAATTTTTTTTTC